CCCTGGGACTATGGGTGAGTGGAAATTCCCAGCTGTAGGGCAGATCCTGCTCCTCCCTCGGCACCTGGATTGCTGCCATTGTTTCAGCTACACCTGTTTGCCCTGTCGTGTGGATCTGCAGGGATCTGAGCTGAGTCCTGGAGCTGCTCAGTACCTTCCAGCCCACAAAGTCAGTGCTGCCCCATGCCAGCTCTGCTGTGTTGTGTGGATCAGGGAAATCCCAAGGGATGTTGGGTGTCTCACCTGCAAATCGTCCCAGGTCTGCTCTGGTACCGGAGTTTGGAATGTGGCTCCTCAGACCTGGCGCTTGCTCTCCACGATGGATTTTAATTTATTTTATGCTGGGTGTCTTCCTAACCTTGGCTGGGATCGAAATCCAAGTTTCCTTTAGACCCAGGTGAGGAGGGATGGAAATATGAAGGACTTCTCCAGAAACCCCAGGCACATGGGATGGTTTCTGAGCCCTGCTCTGATGTTTACAGAGCACCAGAGCACATACAACTGTGTAAGACAGCTTGAACTCCATTAGGAGCTAAATTTAGTGACTCACTAACTCCTTTTTGATATGTTTTTATAATTTCATTGTATTATGACACTTGGTTTTAAATTTGCATGAGTAAATGAGCCTCTCACTAAGTCAGGTAAAAAGATTTTTCACTTATCTACCATGAAATAAGACATTAAAAAAATAGTGAGAGTTGAAAGCAACCTATCCTTGACATATTTAGTTTACATTTTTTCCAACTGTGCTGACTGAACGTTTCTAACCATTAATGATCCAATAAAGCTGTTTGTACCACTTTAGCAGGCTAAATAATTTCACATTAGGAAGATATTTTGTAATTAATTTAGTATTTTGTGGGGGAACCCTATTTTTGGAAAATATAAATGTACATTTAATTGCACTCCCAATCCGAATTGGAAGATGCAGCAAGTGAAAACTGGCCTTTTATGGTTCACCTCCAAACAGTAAAGTCCATGGAGGCAATTAACAGTAGTGAACAACTTTAACTGGGGTTTCCATGACTTGTTCAATAAGTTTCCTGCAGGATTGCTTCAAAATTATTCCCTGGGCAGTGAAACTCCTCTGCTTGGTGGAAGATGAGAGCTCACACCTTCATCCCTGCCCTCACAGGGGTTCCACCAGCTTCTGATTCACTAAGATGGCTTTATGGGCTGGTTTTTAAAGTGTATCTGGACTTTTATTTAGGATAACCTTGAAAGGACCTGAGCAGTATTGGAGTCTGCACTTTAAAGGTGTTTTTCCCCTCTCATTTCCAATCCAAAAAGAGGCCACCCAAGGTCCTACTGCTGGTGGGGTTTGGGGGATGGATCTGAGGAGCCTCCCTTTGTTTTGGACAGGTGATGAGCGGCAAGGAGATGGCACCAATGCTCCTTCAGTGCTCATGTGCAGGTGAAAGTTCCTCTGTTAATTATCCAGCTTTTTGGCTCTCCTCATCTCTCTGGACATCACTGGCTTTAATTTTTTTGTGTGTTATTGATATTTTTTTCTTTTTTTCCCCCTGTTTCATTAATAGTGACAGATGCTTTTAATTAAAAAGACGAGACAAAACAAAATCCTGAGTAAAACAAAAAGAGAATATTCTAATTTGGCGTGACATTATGAGGCAGGATGGCTCCTGGCATGCAAGGTATGGAAAAGGTCATCTTCCACAGCTCCAGTCTTTTGCAACAGTGGAATTAAGTTCAAACTCAGGCTGGTTTTGAAGTCTTAAGTCTCTCCAGGGATTCCTTTCATAACATCTTCGAACTGGATAACACTACAGTAAATGAAATACACTGCACTGGATTAAAGGGTTATTTCCCCTGTGTGTCGAGCTGACACAGAATCCCAACCCTCAGGTTGCCTCTGAGTTGTCTCTATCTGCTGATCCCCTCTCTGCTTTACATAACAGCTCTCGGAGTTTTTGCAGGCAAAAGTTTTGCCATTATTTATTCGACGCTCGGCGTACACGGAACGATTTTATGCAGCAAGGAACCAAAATAAAGCAACTAAACAGGAAGAAATTTAATGGGCTTCCAAATGTGAGGGAAGCAATGCAGGGAAGAGTGGAGCTGCCTCTTCAGGTCTATCACGCTGCTCTGTAATTTATACCAAAATACAAACTATCACTCTCTCTCTGCATCGCCACTCGTATGTTCAGCAGCACCGAGCCTGCGGTAACGACGGGGATGATCTGTGCTACTGTGCTCTTATCTGACTGTACCAACAGCTAAAATTTGTTAGGGATCATTTGCAGTGTGTTTTGTTGTAGAACAAATGTTCATTTTGACTTTGAACTCGGTGTCTGCCGCAGCTCGTGCAGATTGCGTCGAGCGCCGGGTATCGGAACGGCTGCCATCTGCACCGAGCCGGCCACCACCGTGGCTGGGCTCCAGAGCACGTCCTGCCTCTCCACCCTGGGACAGCATGAGTGCCTTTAAAGATCAGAGCATTGGCTCCTCCAGCTCCGCTGTGCCACGGCCAGTGCCCCCTGACAGGGTGGCCTGTTGGTCCTGGGGAAGGCGTTGTCTCCAAGCTTGGGTTTGGTGAATTGCAGTGGGTGTTTATTGATCCCACTCTGGAACTGAAGGAATTGTCTTGGTCCTTTGTTTTCCTCCACCAAAACACCAATTCAGGACTGCTCTGAAAGCATGGGAGGCCTGTGAAATGCAAACTCTGGGATAAATTTTTTTTGACAGTGAAAAAGAAGAAAACCATTTCTTCTCCCTCTTTGTCTCCTCCCATTTTATTTTATCCATGGTGGTCCAATGCTGGCTGGATCAGATGGAAAACTGAAGTTTTCCATTTGAAACAGGGCACTGTGCTCTGTGTGTACCTCTGGTTTCTGCTCTCTGTGCTGAATCTCTTCTGCCTTCATGGCTCAATGTCTTCCTGCACCATGTTTTTCTCTGGATGTGCTTGTGGATACCACTGAAACAACCACTGCTCCTCTCAACCAACCCCACACCCCTCTCCTGAGAGCTGATGGGATGGCGGGGGCTGCTGCTCTTCACGAAGGTGGGCAGATCCTTCTTTCCTCTCCCTGGTCGTGCTTCTGCTCCACAAGTTGCAAACATTGTTTGTCTCCATTAGCTTTTGGGATGAGGTGCTGGGACCTGCACCCTGACCTGGAGCTCTGTGGGAGATGTTCACCAGGATCTGTCTGTGCTGATGGGTTTCTCCTGGCGAGCTCCTTGAGGACATGTCCCTATGGGCATCGGGTTCCTCTGTTTCCAAGTGTTATTCACAAATTAAACACCCACACACATTAAAAACCTGTGGGGAATGATCATTTGGGGGTTCTGCTGTCCGTGAGTAATTAAAACCCTTGACATTTTTAGGTTTAACTGAACAGCCTGGCAGGAGAAGCAGGGCCAGGGAGTTGCCTGTGCTGCTCTTCTGGGTGGCTGGAGGTACCCACACGCTCCCACACTGTGGCCCCCAGGAGGGTCTGTGTCTTTCCAGCGGGTCCGAAATCTCTCTGGAAAAGCTGGGACATGCTGAAAATGTGCTCTGAGCTTTAGCACTTCCTCCAGATTATTTCTTCAAGTATTTAAAAATATATTTTATAGCACTAAAATAAATGTTAATGAGTCTGCATTGCTTAGGGCTAACAATAGTATTTCTATTTCGATCCAGCAGCTTGGCAGGGTGTTTGGTGATGGAGGAGCTGGATGTGGAGACCTGGCTGTTTCTTTCTGACTTGGTCCTTGATGTCTTGAGCAGTTTTATTCTCTTGTGCTTTACTTGCCCTGTTCTGCTAAATAGCAGTGAAAAGCTTCCTTGCTTTGTTAAAGTGCCTGGGATTTATCAAAGGCCTCTGGGCAAGTGTTAAATGCTGAGCTGGGTATAAAAAGTGGTTTTTAGTGTTATGTTTATACCTCTTCAATGTTAGAATGTATTTTAATGTACTCCTCGAGGTGACCTTTGTGGCTTTCCAACCAAAGAGACAGTCTCCTTGACGCAAAGATTTGGTTTTTAACACTACCTGGCATGGCATCTCTGAAGTAATTTCATAAATATGCTTTTTAGGGGTGTTTTTGGTGCTCACAGTGCTGGAGGTGCCAGTTGCATCCAGAGGATGGGAGAGTTGCCACGAGAAAAATAATAGCGTGGAAGTCAGTTCCTCTCATTCCTCACCTTTTTCGCAGTTACGATGAAACGACATTTACAGATCCCAGGGTGCCATGTGAGATGGACAGGGATTTGGGGAGGCACCCCAAGACTTAAAGAGTGTACATGGGAGCAGGGCACGAGGTGTAGGAGGAAATGGGATGGCAGGAATTCAGCCTTGGCAGGGAGTCAAAGGCAGCAGCCCTGCTCGGAGCAGCTGCGCCCCAGGGCTGCGGGAGGCCAAATGGTTTGTTTGTCTGTTTACATGGATGTGTGGGGCTGTGGAGGGGGAAACCACTCAGCAGAGATTCTGCTATTAAAGCAGATGGTGGGAGATTAATCTGTTTTTTAGGGGGGTACTTGCTGGTACAGTGACCAAATCACTGATCCCTTCCCGTGCTAGGAGTCCTCCCATCATTCCAGGGGATGGGTGAATTGTGTCTGCCGGAACTCGGCTCCTTCCCTGCTTTCTCACAAGCTGATGTGGTATTTTGGGTAGCAGAAGGGCGTTTGTCAGGGTTATTGCTGCAGTTTTCTCTCTTCCCGTGGTGCTTCCACGCTGCTCAGGCCCTTTCCAGTGCTCCCATGGCAGTTCCATGGGCCTCCTTGCAAACCAGCAGCAGCCCCTTTGCTGCTGCTGCTCAAATGCTGCTTGTTATCCTAGATTTCCTTTTTCTCCTTCCATTTTAGAAATTGCTCTTTTTTTTTTCCCCCCTGCCGTATCACTGACAGCCACATTCTCCTTGACAGTTGTGATATTTGTATGTGTGCATAAAAACAGTAGGAAGCATTTATGTAGGTGTCACTAATTTAATTTAATATAATCTGATCTGTATGTATAGAGGGGACTGTTCTGACTGAAACGCTTCTCTTTATTTTGCAGTCTTCATCGTCATCAAATACAACTCCTTTCATTCTCCTCTTCCATTCACCTACCCAAAGACCAAATCTGGAAATAGTAACCAAAAGAGAAGCCCACGTCACACACAGAGCAGGGAAAGGTTGAAATAATTGAAGGGTAAGTAATTTTTTTCACCTTTATCCCGTGTGTAAAGCCACAGTAGTAAGTGCAGGACTGTGTAAAGATAGCTGTTAAGCACATGCTCAGCTGCTTTGTGTGCAAAGTGGAAAAAAAATGACTGAAATGCTGATTTGCTGGTGAAGGAAAGGTATTGCAGGTGACAAAGCGCCCAGAACGGCAGCGTGCCGGCGGTTTGGAATGTTGGTGCTGGCACTTTGGAATGTTGGTACTGGCACTTTGGAATATTATTGCTGGTTCTTCTCAGCCTGGACCCATCTCTGCTCCTGCCTGGGTGGGAGCAGCGGCTCTGCCGAGGTTGGGGGCTTGGCATGGCTTTGGCTGGTGTGAAGGAGCTTCCCAGCTGAGCAGGAGCTGGGAGATCGGAGTCTCCTGCTGCTGAAGAGCTCTTGTGTCATTTCCTTCTCTCTCTCCCACTCCGAGCTGTCTCAACTGGGCTGGTGATCCGTGTGCATGTGGGGCAGGATGTTTTGCCTTGCTGCTGATTTCTGCAGTCCCTCCGTTCTGGGGGCTCCACGAGCTTTTCCTGGAGAGCAAGCCGGCGGTGCCTGTGCTGGGATTTTCCGGAGGAAGGCGTTGATGGGGGCTGGAGGAGGGACAAACCCGCCCGGCAGAGCGGGGACGGCCTCTCGGTGGAAATGTTTGTCTTCAGGCTTTCCTTTTGCTGCGAGGGTGGCGAATAAAATAGGAGGAGGTAGAAAACCAGCTTCTGTGAGATTCAGAACCCTGGCTGAAGCATTAGTGAGCTCCAAATGTTAGGGAATGCGTTTTCCCACTCCATTCCCAGCTCCGTGCTTGCATATATTGCATTTCCACAAGTGTTCTTATGTAGATGGACAGGATATGCCTTTGCTTACATGGGAGATCTTCTTTTTAAACATCTGGATTTTCTGGTTTATTGCTGCTGTGGGTTTTTTTTTTCTTACCCCTGCAGTGTTTGTTCATGCAAAATTCATATCTGGGAAGGGCATCTTAAATCCCTGCTTCTGAGTCAAAAAGGGAAAGTATGGAAGTGAAAAGAGAGATTGTATCATTTAAGAAATATGATTCATGAATTAATCCTCGTCTGCTCCACCATCTGTGGCGTGTGTTTCAATACAAAAATCCTTGGTTATATCTCTTTAAAAAGCTTTCTTCTTGCTGACTGCCTGAGTTTGCTGCAGCACTAATGGGGAATCAGCTTCTTTTGGAGGAGATTTTTATTCACAGCCTGGACAGGTTGCCCCAACCTGTGTCCAAGCTGCAGGTCATTGAGGGGGACTCAGAGCTTTTTTTGGGGGTGGCTGTCAGCTCTCTGTGTAATGCCATGAGCATGACATGCAGGGAGAGCCTGTGCACGGCTGCTTTTTGCCGTGGAAGCGTTGGATGGATCTCCCACCAGGATAGAGGGGATGGAGCAAGATACGGGCAGTGATGGCAGGAAGTGCAGGCAGCCATTAGATCTTCCTGCAAAAACAAGTGGCTGTTTCTAAAAATGGACTGGGAGTGTATTTTGTACTTGATGCTCCAGGAAATAAAGGATTGAGGTAGTCCCCATCTTCTGCTTCCTAGTGGTGTTTATGTAATCCCTTTGTAGATGTGAAGAAGGGGAAGGTTGCCCATCATTGCCCCAGAAGAGAAGCTGTCACATTTTGTGCTTCCCTGAGAAATGGGGAATGAAAGGGCACTGGAGTTTTTGGGGGTGACTTGAGAAGAGTCTCCTTTTTCTGATTTGATTTTTTGAATTGTTTTCCAGCTTTTTACAGGGAACGACTTTCCTTTTTAAACATATTTCTCAGGTTCCTATTCCTGAAGCAGTGCCTCCAGTTTGCTGCTGGGGTCAGACCCGAGATGTGTGAGCCCTTTTCCTCCTTCCTTGGACAGTCCCAAGCAGATCAACATTTCAACACCTGCATCCACCATCAGTCCCTTTCCTGGAGTGATCCCTTTCCTGGCCTGGGGCACTTGCTGCCCATCAGTTTTCTCACGTGAGGTGCTGGTCAAAGCTTGAGTGTTTTCCTGGTTGTTCTGGAGGAGGATCTGAGGGGCAGGAGATGGAGGATGGCTGGATGGCCACAGCCCCTTCTGTGCCAGTGCCACTGCTGTGAGCGCAGCCCTGGAGAGCTCCCGGGCTGCGATAACGCTGATGGATGGAGGTTGTGCAGGAGCTCAGTTCCACGCTGAAATATTGCGGGTTTATTGCCGTTCCATTCATCCTGTTTTCACGCCTTTCTGCCTCCCTGACTCATTGCCACGCGGCCTCTGCTTGCAGCTCCTGTCTGCTGTGGGAACACCCACTGGACAGGATGGGAGTGTGGCAAAGCCCTGGTGCTTTTTCTTTTTTTTTTTTTTATTTGAGCATCTAAAGCCAGGATGGGAAAGTCTTTTGTTGGAAGCAGGAATGAAGTGTTTAAAGGAAGGAGGATGTGGGGGATGCTCTGCCCCACAGCCAGGTGCTGAGCTCTCTTGGGCTCTTGCATGGTCCCTAAGGAATGATTTCCTATTCCTCTCTGTTATCACAAATCCCTTTCTGCCCACTCACTGGAGAGTCCTTGGACATGCAGGCATGACATGAAAAGTAAACTCCAGTATCCCAACACTACTGTAAATAGCTGTGTCTTAAGGGACAATGGCGTCAGCAACTGTTTAACCCAGATTGGAATTCAGCTGAATTGCATCCCTATCCCAGCAATAGGACCTGAGGGAATGGCTGGAGCTGTGCCAGGGCAGGCTCAGGGTGGATCTCAGGGAAAGGTTCTTCCCCCAGAGGGTGGTTGGCACTGAACAGGCTCCCCAGGGCAGTGGGCACAGCCCCAAGGCTGCCAGAGCTCCAGGAGGGTTTGGACAATGCTCTGAAGGACAGGGAGGGATTGTTGGGGTGTCTGGGCAAGGCCGGGAGTTGGACTGGATGATCCTTGGGGGTTCCTTCCAGCTCAGGATGTTCTCTGATTCTCTGACATACTGCATGGAAAACACCCATGGGAATGCAAACCAGGATGGGCACCCAGCTTTCTGTCCCCTCACCCACACAGACACACCTTGTCTCTACAGCTTTTACCAGGAACTCTGGTCGTTTCTTGTATGCCTTTACAATACTTTGCAATTTTGGTTATTACTTAATTGCTTCAATTGTATTTTTTTAATGAGAGTTTCTAGGTTTGTTTGCCATTTTTTATCTGCTCTGTGCTACAGTCTGGGTTAGTCTGAGAAGCAGAGATTGTTTCCTGGGGTCTCCTCTGCAAACCTGCACCTCTGTCAGGTGTGTGCTGGTCCTTCCTGTGCCAAATGACAGCAGGAATCACGTGGCCATAAAATGAGGATTGTGGACTTTGTTCCTTGAGAAGGTCCTGTGCTTACTTACATGGCCAGTGTTAGCATTTTGCAGAATTCTGAGCCCCCACAGGAGCTCTGCTGGTGAAAAAACCCAACCAAACCAACAAGAGGCAAAACAAATTCTGTCAAAACCGGGAGACAGAAGCAGTCCAAGCATTTCGACAAGCAGATTCCATTAGCCGTGGGTTTTGCCTTTTTATTTTAAACTTTGCCTAAAAAAATCAGCAGTTTGTACTTAAAGAAAAAAAAAAAAAGACATTTATGCTCAACATAAATATGTTTTATTTCTACCACAGAGGGGGATTGTAAATGAGGGGTCTGGGAGATTCCCCCAGCTTCTCCTCCCTGGCTTTGCAGGATGCCCTGATCCCCAAAGGTTCCCCGGGAGGGTGACAATGGAACAGGGAGGGTGACAATGGCAGGGAACACGTGGCTTTCCTCTGAGGTTTCTTGTGGGCAGCTCATGGAGAGGGAAGCATCGATTCCCCCTCTCTATTCTTTAGGACCCCAGTGAAACAGCTGCTTGTTTCTCCCAAACAATTATGCCAAGACGGAAATTGGCTTGTGTCTGTACGGACTTTTTGGATGGGGAAAATTCGGCAGTAATAGCTGGAAAAATAATATGGGCTATGAGATAATAGATGCCTAAGGGATAAAATTAAGCAGTATTTTACAACCAAGGAAGAGGGTTTGACAATAAATGGTTTGCCTTTGACTTCCTTTTTGTTTGCCAGAGGAGGGATGTTGTTTTGGAGAGGTTGTCCTGGGATGTATTTTCCAAACAGATGTAGGAAAAGGGGGAAGGTGTGGGGGTTTTTCCCTCCTCCTGGGAAGGCTGGTGCCAGGGCCAGGGTGCAGCACGTTGGCGCCAATGGCACATTGACTGTGACAGGGATGAAATCCCAGCAGTGCAGGGGGATGTTTAGAAGAGATCAGCGAGGTTTGCCAAACCGAGTGGGAACAGGATTGGTTTTAAATGCCACAGGGAGCCCAGAAAGCTCAGGAAGGGGAGGTGGCATGTCCAGCACCCCAGCAGGGTCCCAGAGGAGTTTATTCCTGATCTCCCTGTGTTCTTGTACTGCTGCTTGGCTGCCTTGGGCTGTGCAGAAACCCATTCCCAATAATGCCATGACAGTGGGATTTGGTTTTGTTCTGCTGTCCCTCCACATGTGCTTTTCCATAACAGCTCTGTGAGCACCTTGCTGACAGGGTCATGTGGAAATGCTGTTTTCTCCATTTTGGGAGGCTCATACCACCATCCCCTTCCACTCCTGCATAGGGAAGATGCCCTGGTTGCCTCCTGGTGCCGATGGTAAACATTCTGGAGACTGCAGGGCTCGCATTCCACTCCAAGGGCAGCATCACGGGCAGGACTTGCTCATCTGCACTTTGCAGGGAATAAAAGCACAGTTCAAACAGAGCCTGCAAACCCTAATCCACCTTCCCAGAGATTTGGATGCAGCAGGTTGAGGTGAGCAGGTCTTTAGCCCAGGCCAGCTGCTGACAGCTTTTGATTTCCCAAACCTCAGGGAAAGCCTCCCTGCCAGGTGGGGGGATTTCCTCAGCACAGGTGGGATTCAGGACAGCCCCAAGGTGCCGAGATCTGGCCGTCCCCAGGGGCTGAGGGGGGGCTCAGGGTGCTCAACACCTCCAACAACGAGGCCAAA